GATTGTAATTTTCTTGAGATTGATAATGCCATTGTAGTTATGTGGAGAAGGGCCTTATTCTTGTGAGATGTGTGCTGGAATATGGATCAAAATGTCTAAAACTAACTTCCAAATGATTCAGGATCCACCACCACCACAACAGATAGATGGATGGATAGATAGATGTGTATGTGTATGAATAGATACATAGATTAAAAAAGATGAGAAATATAATATCTGATTGGAATGTCCATATCTCAAGGCTATATTAGACTCTGTTATAATCCTATTTTCTGAGAATATAACTTGTGAATCCTTCTTGATTCCTTTTTCATACTCGCTCTGCACTTAGAATTCAACAAGTCCTATTATTTCCTTTTCAAAATAATATGTTAAATATGCTTAATTTAATGCACCCCTGGTATTATAACCCTAGCACTCAATTCAAAGGTCGTCAGTGATTTTCCCCTCCACTTAGGAGAAAATCCTCTGCTGCCTACATGGGCACTTAACTTCTGGCCCGCTCCTCCTAACTCAGGACGATGGACTTTATTCTGCAAAAGTTTCACAAAGTATTGACTGTTTTGACATTTGAGGACCTGTGGTCACGTGGCGCACACTACCTAGTGTGCCCTGCTCCCGCCCTCGTCTGACTACCTCAAATCAGTCCTTCAATAGTTTTCAACCATCGCATTTCTCAGAAAGTCTTTCTTTGACACCTGCCATCTAAATCAGGTTCTTCTGTGCTTTACTTTTCTTTCATAGCATTTGCCTAATGTATTTGTAAAACTTTTTTTTAATGTTTGTGGTTTTTAATTTAATAACTCCCTCTGTCTTTAGTCTGTTAGTTCTGTGTGGCTAAAGGCTATGTTTGTTTTGCTTACTACCAACTCCCCAAGACCCCGGGTTCAAAATATGTGAAATAAATAAATAAATACATTAATTAATTAACAGAAATCTCAGAGAGGAGTACTATTAGAAAGGGAGCTGTTTTAGTCTTAGGAAGGGTTGACAAAGATGTGAAACTATATTTCCATTATTCATTGTCGGTCCTCACAAACATACTTTTGAACGTTGGGGAGTGAGTTTATATTCAGCCAAATGATATTGGCATTGTGTCCCTTGTGATTGATTTCTGTGGTATTCCTTCTCATAAATATTTTGCCTATCACCTCTACTGAGAGAAATATGTTTATTCTGAAATAATCATACCAATAGTCAAATTTTAATTAGAAGGAAATGAGCAATTAAGATAACTAGTAAAATTATTTTATTATTAATTTGTTTGATTACACCTCATGAAAGGAGGCAGGAAGTCAATACTCTAGTGTATCTTCAAAGATGCTTCAGAAGAATAAAATATGCAAGTATCTTGAAAAGGAACCTGGTGAATCATTAAGGAAAAGCTTTTAAAGGAACATAGTTCAATCTATCATTTCACTTACTCCCCAAAACTAAGGTGCTACAATAAATGTTCTAAACTAAACACTGTAGATCATTTAAATGCTGTAGATTACTTGAGAAAACCCTCAACAGAAAGACAAATGAAGAAGGCAGGCAAAGGGAAATAAATGAACACTCACTTTGTGTCAGAGAAAACTGGAGTAGGTTTTTCTCTAAGGAGCAGCCTTTAGCATTCATATTTCCTTATGGTATACATCAGCATCTTAAGAGCCATAAAATTTCTCAATGTCTTCTTGATGGCTAAACATATTTCCTTCTTTGTTTGAGGCATTATTCTGAAAGTACATGGTGTGTTTTATTCTTTGTTTAGCAAGACAAGGACATTCTACACTAAAGAATGTTTATGTACATAATAATAAATATTTCCGGTGAAGGTCTTATATTTTCATTTTAAAAAATATATATGTTGCATCTGATGTCCATGTGCAGGATAAAGATAAAGAATATAGACCTTCAGTCTAGACACCCCATCAGAAACATGTTTCTTTATTAAACAGTTGTGATCCTTAGCACTTTAAAACTAATGATTTAGGGCCGGGGAGATGGCTCATGCCTGTATTCCCAGTGCTTTGGGAGGCCAGAGTGGGTGGATCACCTGAGTTCAGGAGTTCAAGACCAGCCTGGCCAACTTGGTGAAACCCTGCCTCTACTAAAAAGACAAAAATTAGCTGGGCGTGGTGGTGGGAGCCGAGACTGTGCCATTACATTCCAGCCTGGGTGACAAGAGCGAAATTCTGTCTCAAAAACAAACAAACAATAAATAAAAAAAAAAAAACCACTGATGATTTTGGAGGGCAAGTTAATATGTACTTTTCCTGGAGAAAAGACTGTGTAACATGATGATTCTTAACTGGGCAATACAGTTGACCTACTTGCGTGGCTTTAGTGCCTCTTTACCTGGGTTCTATTAGTTGCGTCCAGTGCTGGATTAGAGCTTAAATTTTGATGTCTGTTAAAATACACACATGTTTTTCTCCTTTTACCAAAGAACTTTTAATGTTTCCAGTAGTTTAAACCTTAATGAACTGTCATGATCTTTTCAAGAGCAGGCTTGAGTAGGTGACGCAGAAGCACCAGATAGGAGGCCATGCACCTGCAGGAGAGGCAGCCTGTGGAAAGTAGCTGCTCAGTAAACGCAGAGGAGACCCAGCAATGAGAGGATCAGGACATCACTGATGCCAAATAACTCATTTTATATTTTCGTGAATCTGTATGATAAAAACTCAGCTTTAGCTGAGTGGGAGGAACCTGCATAAATCTTGGATCGATGTTTAACATTTGAAGGAGGACATTTAGTTTGAATTTTCTCTTTTTCTTTCCAACTATAACAACAGATCAGCCGACATCAAGGCAATAAAATTAAGGAAGTTTAAAAGTTTGATAAATCATTGAGCTCATTTGTCCCTGCACGAGTTATTTCTTGAGAGCAGATAAAGGCACTTTTGAACATGTTCACTTTTTTCAGGTCACGGGGGTGCTATTTAATAAATTACTTTTCTCAGGCACTAAGAGCCACCTTTATTCATCTGAAAAGGTTAATGCAGATTTTTAAAGTGTCCTGGTTATTCCCAAAGAGTAATTTATGCACTAGGAAAGTCTGTTTTATTTGGGAAGTACCTAAATAGCAAGAAGAAAAAAGAAAGTGAGGTACAAATTATAGACACGTAGATCTGGTTGTTTATAATCAATATCCTCTCAGAAGCTTCATTTATATGGGTTAATTTTATACATATATACATACATATATAGACCACTTTATTTAAAATTTTAATATTTCTTCCCTTCTACCTTAGAACTTCCTACTATTCTTCTTGCTCTGTTCTTCATAGCACTTATCACAAATAGATTCTTTATTTTACTTATAGATTTTGGTTTCTTCTGACTTCCCTTAGAAATTAGAATGTAAATTCTATGCAGATATGCAGATAAAAATTTTTCTAATTGCTGTATCTCAGCCTCCCTTCATCCCCTGGAGAATACCAGACTCATATAAACATTCAATAATGATTTGATCAGTGTATACGAGAATAAATGAATACTGATCAAATTTACCAAGAAATGGCCAAATTTCCATTTTATTTAGCATTATATGCATCGTTTTCTGGATGGTGGTGACACATCATAGTTGAGAGTGACTTCTGGAGTCGTCTTGGGCGTGAATCCTGAATTTAACACTGGCCATCTGCTTAGTGTTGGGCAAATGAGTTCACATTTCTGTGCCTTTGTTTTCTCATCTCCAGTATAAGGAGAATAAATTGCCTATCTCATAGTTACGAAACATGTATAAAGGACTTAAAACATTCTAGTACACGGGCAGTTCTTAAAACTTATAAATATGATCATTAAATCAATTTTTGAAAAGAACAATATTCTTTATGCACTCACTGCCCAAGTGAAAGGGTCATGAAAATTATGTAGATATTAAAACTATTTTGTCTCAGTAATCTGAATCATTTAATTCAGAGCATATTTTAAGCATACATTATTAATATAATTTACTTTCTGAAAATTAGTAGGACATTAATTTTATTTGTTTGACAAACTCCAATCAAGTCAAACAGAGTAATGTAATAATTCCAAATGTCCAGCTCATTTTTGAATTCTGCATTGCCATTTACTATGTCTGTGACCCCGGGAGAGTCAATTAAAATCTTTAAGCTTTGGTTTTCACATTTTTATAATGAGTAAAAATTAAATCTGTGTAATTAGTTGAATATTAAACATAGCACAGTGCCTGGTACATACAGCAAGAGATCTCAATAAAAAGATTAAACAAATAATATTTTATGTTAAAATCTAAAGAACAATGTTTGTGAACTAAACATTGTAAATCTAAAGAACTATATCAATTAATGTAATTGAGTAGGAATTGAAAATGAATGCTATTTTTCTGACTCCAAATTTAATTCTAAGCAAAGAAATTAAGAGAGTTACATGTTGGAAGAAGTTATTTCTTTGATACGAAAGATATTGACAAATGGAACAGCAACTCACTTAGCATATGACTGTCTATTAGTAACAGTTGTTGAGATGAAGGTGTCTCTTTTTCTCATAAACGCTCATGAATTTCTTAAAATTCAACATTGTACTTATAATCCTCCTTTTTCTCCCCATCCCCATCACTTTAAACTTATAAAGGTTCTAAGTAAGAAACACATACAAAATTCTTGTGCACACATATCTTCAAGGCCATTATTATCTCAGAATGTGTGATGAATATTTTGTAATATCGGAGGTATGAGGCATCTTGTAAACCACTATTAGACTCCAAGCAGAGGCACCAGTTGCTACACTTAGATGTGGTGGAGAAGGTTAAAAAGGATTGTGCTCGGATTCTCTATCAAGAGTTTGCTGGAGCCACAGTAGGACTGCGAGCACCTCAGATCATTCCAGAGTGAACCACAGGAATCAAGTCCTTCACTCTGAAAACAAACTCCACTAAACCGTTGTAACCAGATCAGGACTAAAATACACATGTCTGGAATTGCACCTAAGAGCTAGGGAGCCTGAGCAGCCAGGAGAATATGTTTTGAGGAATGTAAAGAGTGCTAACATAATCCCCCAATCCCAAACAATTCAATTTCAGAAAAGAATTTAGGGACTGTGGTAAAATAGCATCTCTAAGCTTGCTACTGCAAGATGATGCTCAGGTTTTCGATGTGCAAAGGAAATGATGAAGGTAGGGTTGAGAATGGGAAATCTGCAAGATAAGAGTTCATCAGTTTGTTTTAACTTGTAGGTGAACTATAAAGAACCTCCAGACATCTTGAAAATGTCATAAGCTCTTCCAAAATGATAGATTCAAAATATGGATACTGCCTCTATAAGAGATATGGGTGTCCTTTTAAAATCTCTTTCCTAATGGGCCTTAAGATTAAAACACAGATCAGCATAAATCTCATTGTAAATCAGGTAGATATTCAACTAATTAGGGATGCCACTAGCCCATGAGACACTTTGGATTTTAGCTTAGCTCTAGAACATATGGCTAGTCCAAAGAAATTCAGACCTAGTCACCGTTTTCCTCCATTGGATGCCCTAGTGGAGGGTACAATCTGCACATCAATATGCAGTGGCCTTGGAAATAAGATTTCAATGCCTTCTGTATGTCAAACTATAATATTCTTTATGTACTTATACTTTATAAAGTCTATGATCATCATCATCTTTAAATAACAAATCTAGAGAATGGCTAAGAAGGGATTTGTTTGAATCCACACCTGCTAACATAAAAATCAATATATTTCTGTTAAAGAAAGCTACCTTCTACTTCCACCTCTTACTCATTAAAAAAAATGGTTAGGGTATTAATCACCATGAAAGTGCTGTAGCTTTTGTGAAAGAGTGTGGGACAGTGGCATGCCTTTTTAAGATGACCTCAGGTGTGATTTAAAGCCTTAAGGCTAAGAGTTTACTACTTGGTCTCAGTGAGCTGTTTCAATTAACATGAGATTTTCATTCATTTTTGGTCAACACAAACATGTCTAGTTTAGGCAATAATTATTTTTTCTGTTTTCACAATGAGAAATAAAGGCTTCTCTCTGTCTTTTTTTTTTTTTAAAGTAATTTTATTCCTTATAATGCCCTATTACAACATGTATCTATAAAGCAAATTTTATTAATTATGTAAAAATTTATTTGCTCATTATAAGATGAACAGATCTATTAAAAAGCTAAAGAAAACAGCTAATGATAAAAAGGAATCAAGAAAACCTTAAATTTGTTTAATAACAGATTAAATTTAGGTAGCTTGTTCAACAAACTTTATTATCAGGAAGACTTTGGGTTGAATTCTGGTTCCTCCACTTAATTTTCATGTCATTTAAACTTCCTGAGGCTCATTTTTTTTTCTCTGTACATGCAGTAATAATTCTAACCTCATGATCATTATAAAACATATAAATGAGAAGCTAAGGAAAGTTATCTGGCACAAAGTGCCTTCTTTGTGCAAAGTATACATTCAATAAGTGTTATTTTCTCCTGTAAAGAAATATATTAGCTAGAAAGCATTTCAGAACCACAAAATAACTCACCAACTTAAATTCCTGATTCTGTAATTTCTTAGGAGCCACCTCTATGTTGGGGACAACAGTGTGCGTCTAGAGTCTCCAATGCCTTGGGACCCATCATGAGAAGGAAGTGGTGGGCATGGAATAAGTGTGGGTACAGTGGAGTATATTGCTTAGAAACAGGCTTCTTTCTTTTCTAGTGTCTTCCAAAGACCCGAAAAGAACAAAGCTGTCTTAATTCTATTTGAAGTATCTTGAGGAGCTGGATAATGATGGCATACGTATGGTCAGGGGAGCCTAGGGTCTAGGTCAGTCAGTGGTGTGAGCCCTTTGCTTATGGACTGTCACAGGCAATCAGAATTAACCAGGCATGTGGCTGTTCTCCCCAACATCTTTAGGTCTGTTTCTGAGTAGTATGTTGTAGTGCTGAAGGAAGGAAGTACCTGCAGAATTAGTATTTTTTTCAGTCTATTTTTGAGAGTAAGCATGCCTTTCTTTCCCACATCCTCTCCGAAGTGACTTTATTCACTGTAAACTTGTTATTCTGAAATGATGATTCAAAAGCAAGATGTGTTTCCTTCCCTTTTCTAAAGACTTGATTAATTATCTAAGGGCAGGTCTTTAAGGAGAGCTAAAAAACCATTTTTCCTTTCAAACTCAAGCTTTTAAAATGCACTAAATTATTTGGGTAAACCATTTGCAATGTTTTTAGCTTTTTATGCATAGACCAAAACCACCAACCCCAAATATTTTTTTTTCAGTGCACAAACTATGCTCTAAGTTAGATATTTCTAAAAGATGTGTTAACTCTTATCAGCCCAATAAACGAGCATCCAAGAAAAAGAATTATTAAACACAAGACTGATTGGTGTTTAAGTATTAAAGCCCATTTCTATTTAACTGTTCAACCCACACTGATATATTTAAAAACATCTTCCATTACTTTCACCTAAGATTCAACATTTTATTATGTCTGTATCAGCTTTTACTGCCCACCAAGGAGCAGTCATAGGAGGAACTGCAATCTTGCTCACACACACAGTATTTTCCAATTCTTCCTTTTGCTTTATCACTATGTTTCCTAAGAAAATGATACGCAAACCATGGATTTTGAAAAGTAGCAGTAGTCTGGAATTCTTCTGTTGGGGGAATTTTTTTTTCTTTCTGTTGAGGGAAAGTTGTTATTTGGTCATTAAAATTATTGAGAGTCCTCTTAGAATCAAGGATTCAACATTTAAATTCCTCTGACTTTATATTTGTTGGTATTATAAAATGTAGACTCATCTCCAAATTAGTCAGTCTGCCTAGTTATGCTGTTCCAATCTGCTAGACACTTGGTTTGAGTTCTCCCCATGCATAATAAAGAATTTTCCTTTTGTAAATTTTATGATTTATACCTTAGCTCTTCTACTATGGAAATCTAGCTTTGTCTTCCGTAGCCAACTGAAGCCAGCAATGAAAACAATATTGAAATATTATAACCAAAAGATCTGCCTTTATTACTGATAATCCTCAGTTATTTCCTGAGCTTTGGCTGTATGGATGTAGACTGCTTATCCAACAGTGAGCTGAGATCAGCCTCAATTTTTCCAGCAAGTAGGAGTGAAGGAGTAAGTAGGAGTGTCCACATGACAAATATTTCTTTTCTAGGTTTTGCAATGGAACAAATATGGTTGCTGCTGCTTCTAACAATTAGAGTGCTTCCAGGGTCTGCTCAGTTCAATGGCTACAACTGTGATGCCAACCTCCACAGTAGATTTCCTGGTAAGTGTAAACCTAATCTGTTCTCTAATTGCTTCTGGAAGAATGTTTATATTTGAAGAGCAATTCATTTAAATACATATGGAGAATGGAGGCCTATCTCTTTACATTAAGTGGATATTAACAAATGGCAAATGACGAGACATTTTTCTGGAGCTGTAAATTACATCCACATTAACATACGAAGTGTTCATCACAGTTATGATTATAATGGCTGCTCCCATATATGAAAAATATTGCCTCATGTATAAAAAATTGGGAGGTACTAATTTCATTCAAAATTTGCAAAGTTTGTGCCTTTTCAATGAATTAATTCAGACTTTTAAAAACTGCTCTTATGTGCTAATATATTTACATAGGAATAATCTTAAGAAAATGATTGTGAAATTTTGTACAATAAAAAAGACCACTATTTCAATGAAGTGATGATTACCACCAAAGTACACAGGTCAGTTTCAGAATGAATTTCCCAGGAACCCATCAGCATTATGACAAATATGAGATTTTGACAATATTGATGGGAATGTCCCACAGGTTTCTAAAACCTGCACTCAATAAGAAGTTACTCAATGTTTTACCTAAGTAGTCATCATTTTATATTAGCTAAAGTTATGGAACCCCAGTTCAACATTTACAAAATAAAGATGAGATGACTGAAAACACTTTTCGAAGTCTGTCATGCAAACTGAACCTCTTTGGGCATGGCTTACATTCTGAAAACCTGCCAGTCCTTCCGTGTTTGGAGCATGCCAGGAAACTGCAAGTCTGCAGAGAGCAATCAGTAGGTAGTTACAGAGATGAAGTGCCATTTCTACAACAGAGCATACGTCAGAAGTTGTCTGAATGTCTTCATGAACTCAGACCTTGGATGTAAGTGCTTGGTTTGTTAGGTGAAATATGAAGGTCATGGTGGGAATGACTAAAGGAATTCTAGAAAAATATGCTAAGGCAGGGTTGTGAATAGCTTTGAATATCACAAATGAGCTTTTTATTTACATTTATTATTATGGAAAATTTTAACCATATATGAAAGTAAATGTTAGTAGGAAGAACACTTATACTGATCATCCAGCATTGTCAGTTATCAACACATAAATTTTCTTTGATCCCTGTCCTTACCACTCATGGTATATGAATTTATAATACATTTATGAATAATAATAAACGTATTATTCATGCTTTGGTGTTTATATGTGATGGAAAAGAACTTAAAAATCATCATCCTTTACGTATATATCCTATCAGCCCAACAGTAATTTCTTAATATCATTAAATTCAGCCAAGTTGCCTCTAAAATCTTCATACCGAGTATTTGTTGATATAGCTTTTATTTCATTTTGTTTTATAATGGTTCTGTCCTTTGCTTTTACAAAATGCTGTTGAGCTCTTTCAGCAGTTTGCTCATTTGTCTTGTAGAGTTCTGACCCTGGATTTGGCCAACTGTAACCCTCAGGTGTCATTGGACACTCTCCTCTTTCCCTGACGACCCTGTAAACTAGTTAGAGCTAGAAGTTTGAATAAATTTAAGCTCCCTTATTTTGGTGAGAATGTGTGTTATATAGTGTAATGAAAAGTGTTTTCTCTTCATTTTGTAGGCAGTCGAGAGTCATGGAATCTTTGTAAACGTACCTTTTAAAAGGTGTGATGTGGAAGAGACATTAGGAGAAGTATGAGAGATAGAATCGAGTCAAAATAGACTAGAGGCAGAGAGAAATATCCTGACGGCAGTGGTAGTGGAAGCACTACAAGGGGGCAATTATTAAGAGATATTTGTGTGGTAGACTCAGCAGGAATTGAGAATTGATTTGATTTGGCGGGTAAGAGAAAGGCAAGAGTAGAGGATGTTTTGAACTGGTACAAGTAGATGATGATGCTGTTGATTGATCCAAGGACACGTGCATGTTTTAGAAAGGAAGTTCAAGTTTGGAAATAATGGGCTTGAGGCATTTTGGAATGTACAGTGGCAATTTCTTTCTATTCAGCAGTAGGAAATATGGAGCTGGGCCTGAGAAGAGGGATCAAAACTGACGATAGCTGTATGAGAGCTGATTCCTCGTGCAGTGGGTAATCAATGAGTAGGAAGTAGGAAAATAAAATGTATGAAAATAGACTGCTAGTTAGATAACGTTTGTTTTTAAAAGAAAAAGAAGGAGGAAGAAACAACCTGAGCCAGGAATTGAAAACAATTCCTGGGACTACAGAGGCCTGAGCATACATGAGTAAAGGGAAAGTTTTCAAAAAATGGAACTACTAATAAAGAAATAATTGATGAAATGAGAAGAGAAAATATTGAAGTGATCAATGGTACAGGGGAAGGAGTTAACCTTGGAAAAGTAGTAGTTGTTTGTTTAAGAGACAAAGAGAGATAAAGACATGGTTGGAGAAGGTGAGAGATGCAACTGTGTGCACTCCCTCAGTGTCGTGGAAGGCAGCGGCTCTCATTGGAGTCGCTGGGGGCCTGGGAAGGATGGTCAAGCAGTGACCCTGTTGTGAATGGATAAGAAGGCCAAGTAATAAAAAGATTGCTCAGCAGAGAAGATCTGGCCGGTGTGGGAGTTATATACTTGCAAAGGTGAATAAGGAAGGTTAAAGAGCGATGAATTGACTAGGACAGGAAAAAGAAGTATTTATCATAAAGTGGATTTTTAAAAAATCATGTTAAAATGCCTCTTTGTGATGGCATCTACTGACCACCTGCATCAAAATCAGATGGGTTAGTTGTTAAAAGTGGGGACTCCCCTGTTTCACCTCAAACAGGTGAGGTCATAATCTATGAATGTGGTCTTGGAAATCTGTGTTTTAAATTCTGCAGGGGAATCTAACGTACATTTATGGTTAAGAACAACTAATAGTGTATTCTATTATTTTCTTGAGTCTATTATTCCAATTAAAAGCACAATTATTTGTTGGAGAAATAAACCTAAAAACAAAATTTTCCAACCCAGAAATCCTCTCTGCCTAGATGGTAGAGAAAAGTAGAGAAATAAAAACACTTTCGTCATTAAATAAGCATTAAACTAGACTGTGATGTGCAGCATAGGTAATTGGTAAGAGATTACAAAAACAGGAAGAAATCTTACCCTTTTATACAGCCAAGCAGAGACAAATCATTACATATGTTTTCAATATAGAGAATAACGAGTCCTCAAGTAAGAGGACTTGACGGGACCATTTGTCACACACATGAACCCCCACTTTACGTGGTAAGTAGGGTGACCATTTGTGTGAGCTGACTTATTTTCTCCAGAAGAAAAGTTAACTTCTCATATCTTTATGAAAGGAAGTAGTTTTGCAATTTGGAGCAAGGCTCACATCAGAGTTAGGCTCCTACCCCACCGCAGAAACTGAGACATAATGTACCCTCTCCCTTGATGTTTACATTTCAAAGAGATGGCTCTCAGATCCTTGAGAAAGACATTCCTGAGTCATAAAGCTTACAAGAATCCAATCTAGTTTTCAAAAGGATTGGTACACACTTCAAAGAGAGGAGACAGTACTTCTAATTACAAGTTTTCTAAAGTAAACGCTCTAAGAAAAAGGGAGGGAGAAGTCTCTTCCTCTATTTTCGAAGATATTTGTACTTTATATTTTTTCTGACACACATTAGCACTTTAGATATTATCTGGCTTAGACCACAAACACCCAAACTTTCCGGACGTATATTCATAAACGCATATAGCCATTACCACACACATGCACATGTGCGCGCGCACACACACACACACACACCACACAGTTACAATGTTAAAATTTGTATTTAAAAAACACGAAATTCATATTTTAAAGAACAAATATTAACGAAATTCAAATAATGCTGAAGTCCCAGGAGAGACTTTATATTTAGATGCGAATTATTTAACTCATTTTTTTGGAGGTTGTTTGAGAAAAGATCAGAGTGAGCAAATAAAGCCTAAAGATTAATTGCTTACTGCCCTCTTGACTCTCAGTATCTCTTGCACATTGGGATCACTCTTGATGTCATCAGAAGCTCCACAAGCTACTCAGAGCATAAGCAATGGGATGGAATGAGAATGAGCCTGGCAAAGGAAAGGAGCTATCTAAATGTAAAGCAATGTTAATAATGATGAGAGTAATCATCTCACCCTAACTGACCTTTGCTGTTTCATGACATTAGAACTATTTTCTTTAATTTCCATGGCATTTATCGTGGAGCCAAGAGAAGCACCATGGTCTAATTCATTTAAATTTAAAGGAATGCTATTTAATTTTAGAGGGAGTTAACTCTTGGTTATCCAAGCTAATGGCAAAAAGCAGGCTCATGAACCATCAAAATTATGGTTGTGATGATTCTAGAATAAAACTCAAAGTGTAGTTGACTCTTAGAATACCAAGGAATTATTTGGTTTAAGTAAAACATACAGAGGAATGTACTTGGCCTTTGTGACTGATGGATATTTTCTGAAATCAGTCCCCCTTATTTGGAAGTATATGAGAATTAGGCTAAACTTTCTGGCCTCTAAAGAAATATTTAATGATAAAGGCATATCCAAGGAGAAAAATGGGCTTATAGCACAAGGAACTTCAAGGTTTGACACTGTAATGACACTCTGACATGAACTAAGTAGTCATGGGAAGGTGGATATGAGTCAGTGTATCATAACATGTGATTTGACATTGTGTTGTAAATAATACTATTAAGAAAACAAGCACTAAGTTCTATGTATTGAGTACCAGGCACGTCACAAAATTCTTTCATTTCTTACAACAAACTTATAAAATCTTTTTAAGACCTCTCTTTACAGTAGGAAAACTGAGGGCATGATTTTGTTAAATATTGCAAATCTACAAATTGGTAGAGATATAAAACTGGGATTCTTTCCCTTAAACAATGATGTATAAAAACGAAATTTGAATACTCAGTTTAAAAAATGATATAGGTATGGAGACTGTCAATGGAAATTACCACATTTAAGGATATGAAAAGCATGTGTTCGGAGAATTTGTTTAGTCTTTTCAAGACCTGCTTGACTAAGGAAATCTTT